AATCCTCTGAGCGTTCAGGTACTTGTTAGAGCGCTTGGTGAGCTGCTTGATGATGGTGTGGGGCGGAAGAGGTTCGTGTTTTAGCTGACGGCAATCACTTCCATCTTCGTTCTCGATGTCTCTGGTCTACCCATCGCGTCCCTCATAACGGCGATGACCGAACCAGAGTCATTAAGGTTCTTACTACATCGCTTGAGGCTCGATCTCGCCTCTGCTGCTTCCTTCAGTCGGGTCTTTTTGTATCGCTGCACCGATTCTCTCACTGCGATGCGACACGCTTTATTGATCCAAGCACGTTCCAAAAGTGTAGTTGCAGAGTTACGGTAAAAGGCAGTCCGTTGTTGGGGCAGTGTGCGAGCATTTCCATCGATCCCGCTCTTGGAGTTCATCTTTGCTGAGGCAGCCGATGCCGTTGCGGACTTCAGAAGTTTTTTTACAAGAAAGTCGTACTCTTGCGTCAAGTCCTGTGCCTGCTGCCACGTGTGCTGAGCAGCTGCCACCTCCATGGCGCTTGTCATTCGCGCGGTAGTCGTTTAGGAGAAGGCCGGAAGTGATCACGTCTTAGAAGTTTCGCTCGTAGGCGGACTTTGGCTCTGACGAGTCTATGGTTGCTTCCGGTTGCGGAGGCATCTACCACATTGGCGTCTAGCAGACTCCACTTTTTTTGATGAGAAAGTGGTCGATTTCGCTACGAATCCCTGCAGTAAAGCTCTCTCACACCCTCTAAAACGTCCATCAATCGCTCCCCATTCGTTTTTTCGATTCCATGTGGACCAGTGCGTGCTGTCGCCGTTCTTTCCTCATGAATAATTGCGTTAAAGTCCCAACAAGGAAATTGTAGAATGAACGCTCGTTCTTTATAACCTCCTCCAGTTCCTTATGAAAGGCGTCTTTTTCTCCATCGGTTGCTGTTGACGTTCGTGCATAGCAACTAATAATGCTGACGGTGGTGCGCTCGTCGATACGGAGGCGGAGAATGGCCAGTCGCGGGCCGAGTACCACGGTTGAGTAAACCAGATGTTCGATGCGACGATGGACTGAAAATCCGACGCCTCCGCTGTTTCTTCAACTTCCTCTCCTATAATAAAGAGGGGCCGCCCGTCGTTGGTCTTCTTGATGACCGTTTCCTTGGTTTCCATCCCTCTAAGGGCGATGACGTCGAAGCGAAGCTTCTTGATGGTTACCCATGATAGTTTGTCCCGCCTTCGAGGCAATGGTAAGGAAGTTGTAGGTGCAATTTCGTAGGCAGTCTCCATACCTCGAAGGCTATTCGTCCTGTGCGCTCCGAATCCTACGGCGGTTTTTGCCTAAAGGTCCCGTCGGGTCGTTCCAGTGCACTTATAACTCGTGCTTATATCTGCGCAGCTCCGAACCATCATTGTGCTTACTGAAGCTGATATACCGGTCCTCGGGTAGCTAGCCCATCAATGCGGTGATTGCCTCCACTGTTGGCTGGAATTCCTGAATTCCTTCCGTTTCGCCCCCTCGCCGATTTGAGGTCAATGTCAGGATTCGGAGGGGGGGGGGGGGACAATATTCAGTGCCACAAGACGGATTGTTGTTTTTCAGAAAATCTGCTCTGGCTTTCTATGCTCGCAACTTGCGTCCCACTCACCGGAACTATATATTGCTACACGGATAACTTCAAAGAGAGGGTGATTTTAATTTATATGAATCGTCAATTACTGCTTTTCTTTCCATCATCCATCCCTCTGGGATTGGCTGACTGATACTGAACTCGTCTGGGATGACTGACTACTGACTGACTTCTACTGACTAGTGACTACTGAACTCGTCTGGGATGACTGACTACTGACTGACTTCTACTGACTAGTGACTACTGTCTTACACACAGTGACAGTCCACATATGCTTTCAAAACGCCACTGTGATCCTGAATGGGCGTCAAATGTGGGGATGCATCCCAACTCGGAATAGATCAACACTAAAGAACTTTTTACTCTATTATCTATATTAGTTTACTAGTTTCTGACTGTGGACGTGGTTAAGGCCATAACGAAAAAAGAGCATCGCTTCTGTACCGGTAGTTATGGATTTACACGAACAGGGCACAAAAAGTATCGCCTATCAAAGTCATCATTTTGGTACGCTGATGTGGTAAGGAACATTCTCTTCACGATTCTATCCTTCAGAGTAGAAAAAACAAGTTTGCACTTCGTTTCAAGAGATTCATTATATTATAGTAGTAAGGTTGAGCACAAAAAAATAAGAGAGAACCGGTCCTTATTCACGTAATTGATCTTGAGGATTCTCCGTTGCCTGCGTTCTGCGAAATCTTTGACGACACACCTCCCATGGAACACAAAAAAATAGGAAGAGGAAGTGTGCGAGATAGTGAGTATTTGAAAGCATAGTTTTTGACAAATATGGCATTATTTATTTCTTATCATCAGAAATTTAGGGTGTTGGTGGTGTAGTGGCAGGTGACGCACTATCTCACACCCATCTCGGGTTGCTATTGCCTTGACGAGTCAGCCTTCCATCACTCCGGGTTCGGTTAATTAGCGTCAGTCTCGTCTGGGAAGAAAAAAGCACTGACTCGTACACCGGCTGGTCCCCGCAAGTCATCGTATAGGCCCCATACGCATTCAATACGCCAGTGCGATTCTGAATGAAAGTCGAATGCGTGCGTGCGCGACCGACATCTCGTCCCAACATCCCTTTCGCATTTGAGGAGAATCACAATTTTCCGTGACTTGTAAACGAGCTTTAATATCTGCCGCGCGCGAAAACCTCGCGTCAACCAGGGATCATGACCCCTCTTTCGCAAGAGCCATGTTTCTTACAATTTTTGCTGTTTTCACCTGAATTAGGATAATGTGATATGTGGAGCTTTAAATATGCGTCTTTCTCCAATGATACTTTGAAGATTAGTATTTTTTCTCATTTCCGCTGTTTAAGTTAATATAGCAGCTGTAAAAAGAGGAACAGCCACATGTTATTGCAATACTTCAATTATATGCGCTACCCAGAGAAACACATTCAAGGTATTGTTCCTTTCACATCCATTTCCATTAGAGTATTCCTTGTTAATATAGAGGCGGTCTAGTGATACGGACTGCATGGTCGTCCATGGCGAATGTGGTGCCAACTAACTGACCTTGGTGGGATGGGGGCTGGTTGGCCAAGGTAGGATCGTCTTCCGGATTGATTTTGATTCAGGGCAACATGACATCTCAACCCTTTGTATTCGGTTAATTGGTGCATGGCCCACTTATCGAAACATTATTACGTATTAATGGCTTATATATGCATAAATCCGCAGGGTGTCACAATTATAAAGAACGTACCAGCCCCCATCACACCGCTGTCAGTCAGTTGTACCGATTCGAATGCATTTACTCCAACTGTTATTTTGAATGGAATGGAAATGCTGGGCGCATCGCCCGGATGGAATTGATTGAAGCTGGAAAACTTCAACTACTACCTTTAGTAATCTTTTTTTTTTTGAATTTCCAAAAATGCATGTTTCCAGAACTATTTTTCTAAGGCCGGTAGAACAGAAAAAAGAGTTTTGCGACGTTTCCTAAAATTAGGTAAGCTCTTCGTTTTTGGCATTTTTCCGTAGTTCCTTTTCAGCCTAAGCATTGTTTCAAGTCCAATAACAAGTAAAAGGCTCGTACTCATATTCTTTCAAACGGGAACCTCTTGGTCCCCTCTTGTTCGCTCATCTCCATAAACTGTGGTAAGGGCCATACATGAGCGTAACGGCAGACTTGTTGGCAATGAGGACAAAGTCCTATCCTAGTGGAATTTATGTGGGGAGTACTGAATTCCATTTTCGGCAAAATCTCATTCGTACCTCATGATATACAATTAGACCTTTCAATCTGAAGAGGGACAAAACTTCCTCAGAACGAAAGGGAATCACTAGAAATAACTTTGCTTCTGCAGGCCTTTTCTCCTTTCTGCACATTGAAAGCCTTCTCCCGCTCACGCGGTGAGTGGGCAGGAAGGGATACCGGATCAGACTTTTCCTCGTTGATCGTCATGAGCCTGAGAGCACAATGGCGCCATTCAGCCCATGACGGGAAAAAAGCACGGAAAAGTTCCAGTTCGCACAAAAAATTAGTCATACCGCTCAGGAAATCCTACTTCCTGGCAAAGAACATTACAAAATCTAGTAGTTACCATCGCTCGATAGGGCGACATTTTCCTTGAGGATTAATGTTGCTGTTTTTGCTATAATTATTTCGTTGCCTGTAGTAGGCGATGTAAAAAGCACCTTTCGGGAAGATGCGGAAGGGGGCTCCTTTCCATAAATCACTACATCATTTGCTGATAAAGTGATAAATATGGTTATAGGGTAAGGTAAAATGATAAGAATGGCATGTCAAGACCACCCGGAACACGGCGCACGTCACCTGATTCCTGGGAGGGATCCATTCCCTGACCCTTCCCCTGAGCTTTCCGTTAATTGTATCACCCACCTGATGTTGGACCGCAGGGAACGCTTTTCATTATCACTGAACTCAGAAGTTTCCTCGGCCTTGTTTACCTCACATCTTTTTCACAGCGCTCTTCCCGACAATCGAGCGTTTCGAAGGTTTAAACGTGCGTAGGGGGCTGGCGTGTGGAACAAAAGTATAGCCCAAGATCAGCAGTATTGAGCGGGAAAACGGTAGAATAACTTTCTGAAGCATTCCTTGAGCCCCAAGAGAAGGGTGACACTGTTTCCCAGAATAGGTTCTCCTATCGAAATATTCACCTTAGTCCAGGAATTTTTCAGATGTTCCTGAAGCGGTAGATGAGTTGCATAAATTCATGGCTACTAGGTAAACTCATCATTGATTTCTAGTTTCAGCTTGACACCCTGCTACATTAAAGTTCATGTTACGTCGTTTTCAGTCTACCGAAAACCACGACCGAACCAACTCCGTCCACCGGAGCAGAAGCAGGCGATGAGAGTGCAAATCCAGAAGGTTTAAATCAGGAAGGACAGCACTCAGCTGCGAATGCGGTACGTTTTGAAATTACCATAATTTGTAAGTCACTATGGGAACACAGTTCCGCAAGCTACGGTAGAGATGAAAGTTGCAAAACCAATGAGAGATTTCCATGCGTTTCCATATCGCCACTGATGAGCCTTTCGTCAATACTACTGGAATCTGAGGTGGTTTCCTGTCAGCAAGGTCCGATCCAGCATGGCTAAACATGCTACGTTCTGAACGTCGGCTTATCTTTTTTTTTAACCTGGGAGCCAGTCTCCTCGATGGACAGAGCAATACTGGCTTGGTCGAGTGTCTGGGTTAGAAATACATACGGCGCTGAACAAAAGCTGTCAGCTATGACCTCGGCATTAGTCTGGGCAAATTATTAGTTCGATGTGAACACAGCCTCCATCAGAGGAGAGTAGTGTGAGCAGCTCAAACACGTCTTAAGGGAAACAGCGTACAGCCCGCATCACTGTCCTGAACTTTATTTTTGACTAATTCCAGTAGTACTGACAGTGCCTTTTTGGACAGCCTCTGATCAATTCCCCATTGTGGCTCTAAAGGCTTGGAGAATATCTTCAAAAATTCGTTCCTGAGTAGCCTGTCACTTCACTGTCATAGCAGCTCCTACAAATAAACCGATGACTTCTCATAACCCCATTACAATTTACTGATTTTTTTCGCTCTCTGAAGGTTGACATGAGGGTTTTGCGAACCTCCCCTCAGTATCCATCTAAACAGCCAATGTTCTTGAAATATCAAGATCATTGGCCTTTCAGATGGAGACTGAGGGGAGGTTCGAAAATACCCCAGAAAGTACAGTGCAACTAAAATACAACTAAACGTCCCTCAACCATGAGATCCGTTATAAACTTCACCGAAGAGACCACCATTGAAATTCTCCTTTATTCCACTCCCAAGTACACAGCGCACCCTTTTCGCAGTTCGTCAGCAACTTAAGTACACACTCGCGTATCAAATCTCCAATATTGTGCTGGGAGATATACCTTATGAATATCTTCTGAGTGGGACAAATATGGTATAGTGGCAAGTGTCGCGTTATCAGAGACGCTTGGGCCGGTGACAGGATCCCGGATTCACACTCGCCAAGAATACCTCCCGGGTTGGTTGAATTGTACCGTACTCGTCACTGGACCTATAGAAGTATCGGCTTGTATCGGCCCCACCCCAATTAAATTTTGAATGGAAATCAGATGCGGGTAGCATCCTCGACGCTGAAAACTTCAACCTCGTCTTTTGTATTCTGAAAGTATATCATAAAAGGCGTTCCAAACAGTTCAGTAACTGTGAGTCGTATGAAATATCAATCACTTTCCAAAATTCAGGCCATTCCAGAGCCCTTGCTTGCTCCCCGCTCACTCGTGGACTAATTTCCTCACTCTTCCATATTACTAGCTTGATATCTCCGTTCGTTGCAGGCATCAGACGAGTCCTACGATGATACGAGAAGCTCACCAAAGTGAGTGTTTACTCATGAGGTCTCATAGCACACTGTGTTAACTTCATACATTTGATAAAATAGTTCGAAGTCGTCGGCTAAGTTTGTCGACCTTCATAACATCATAGCATTTGAGAGCTTCCTAGGCGAGGAATGGTCAGTTACACTGATGCATTGCAAGCGTATTGTCTTCCCGAATCCCACCATTGGACGCTACAGGGCTATTTTTATTCAGAAGGTTACAGCAAAAATGTGAAGTGGAAGGCTCTCCAAACTCAATTCTATTCAACATAACGAAAGACCCTTGTCCGAAAGAATGGTCTCCTCATTTCTCGTCTACAGAAGATTCATTCCTACTTATCGCAACAAAAAACAAAAAAAAAATAGAACAAATCAACAAGTGTGGGTAAGGTAAAGTAGAAAAAGTTGAGGAAAATGCGGAAAACAATGCTGTGAAAGTAGCCAATTCAGCGCTTTAGGCAGCGCTGGCCATGATCATGACAACAGATTGGAGCACATGTATCGCAATGGCGAAATATGAATGCAACTCAGCAATTTTGACCCCTCCTCCCCGCTTCCAAACTTCTTTTGCAACTCATTAACTGTAAGAATCTCAACAGGTTTTTTGTGAAGAATTGCAAATAGGGGTCAAATAGTCAGAGAATTAGCTGCCAAGGCGAGAAGCGGTTAAGTTGATTCAGCCTCTCGGCGTTTATTTCTACCGCCTCCCGCCACTCAGAGACCCTGAACCATTATCAATAAAGATGATTAACTGCGCGGTGCTACACGTAGTCTAGCCGTTTTCAGCATGCTACTGATTTTGGGACTGATCGCTTTGGTCGTGCTAATTATCATCGTCATCATTGCTCTTGTTCCGATCTTGATTAAATATCGCAAAAAGCGACGCAAGGTAATGACTATTGCTTATTATTCATTGTTTGTTTGTTTAGTTTACTTATTCTTTACTTTCTAAAAGGTAGTTTTCTAGAGATGGCTCGAAAAAACGTGGGATCAACGTGTAAAGCAGGCAGGAGAAGAACTGGAAAAAGTGGAAAAAGAAAAGAAAGAGAAAGAAAAGAAGGAAGCAAAAAGTAAAGGAGAAAGTTCACAAGACTCGACTATACCGACTCTTTCTGATGGTGGAAGAGATCCATTTGGAGCATTTGTATCCAAAATGGGGCATCTGGATGAGAAAGGCGCAGGGCTTTAAAGCGGTAGGGGCCGTATCTAGGTTCACGTGAAGAAACAAACAACCAAACAAAGAAACACTCGACAAAAACGTTACAGTTTACACTAGATGCTGATCTTCACGTTTATTCAACAATAAAACTGACTCCTAATTTGTCCTGTTCTTTGTTTTACTTGAGAGTTTTCAAAAAGCTCAAAATGTGTGTTGTGACTGTAGTGAGCCATTCGGATTTTTGACCTTGATCCCGATCACCCTTCTTTTCCTTCTTCTCCTCGGCCTCCCCCGCAGTATCAGGGTCCCCGTTCCGGTTGGTCGCTGCCCCATCATTCGTTCTGCGGTATCCTCTACCACTAATTTACTTCAGGAGGGGGGTCCTTTTTGACCACATCCTTCCTCCACTTTTTTGTCAGGGCTTCTCGCGGATGTTTCCCTACAACTCCAAGTTCCGTTCTCCTCCCGTTTCTCTATGATAACATCTCGTTCTCTTCGCAACAGGTGCCTATACCATCGCGCACGCTGTTCTACCTCGTCATCTCAACAGGAACTATCTGAATGGCCATCCTGATGTTTTCGTTTTTAACCGATCCAACTTTCCCCAAGCGCAGACTCCTCTTCTTACTACTCGTTAAATTTGGATAGGGAAACATGACTGAATCCCTAGAACAGCCTTTATCCGTCTAACCTAAGGAGAGCATACTATTATACATCACCACACTCCGTGCAAATTCATTTTATCTATCTTATTTACAAAGCAGTGGCTTGGTGTGTCGGTTTGTCTATTTGCCTTCTGTCGGTCTGTCCGTCCGCAAACATTATGATTACTGTTTTTCACTGTTTTGCCGTACAGGTTTGTTAAGGCAGAAACCGCTTTATTGGTCGACGTTTCGACAAATCGTCGTCTTCAGGACCTGAAAGCGGTTCGGAGCTCCTGATCTGTGGCTTACCCGACCAAGCGCCCAAACGCGCTAGCCCAGTTGCAACAGCTCCCAGAAACTTCAACACTAAAAGATCCCAACCGAGAAACCAACCTTCTGCGCTACCACCAACGTTGTCGTCCCACTCGATTTCGTGAACAAACAGGGACCAATGAGATACACCATTGACGTTCGTTGGATAAGAGTTGCGCGGTGTTCTCAAAGCCCACAAAAAGAAATGAACGGCAGGAATTCGCTTGTTATAGCAATGCACTCATTTCGGTTGTTCAGCTCAGGATTTCTCTCGTGGATGTGGAACGCTTCCAAATTCTTTCTAGCACCGATCTCATTCTCGTAGGCTAGGATTTTGCATTTGATATCAAAATCATTGCCTTGATGTACTTCTACTCGATGCCTCCCAAGTGGCGTGAAAAGGCTTCCGCGCCTTTGACTTGCTAGATGTTCCTTGACACGTATGCCTAACATCCCTCCCGTCTCACCAATATAAAGTCCGTCACAGACTGAACACTGAAGTTGGTACACTGTCCC